ACGGCTGCAGGCAGGCACCGACTGCGTTATAGCCTGTGCATACCGGGATTTCAACAACATCCACCAGGAAACAACCTACTTATCATAGTACTTCCAGGCTTTCTTTCGGCACAGAAATCTGATTTCATTAACGAGATGTGTGTGTGTGTTTCTGCTTGCTCGAAAACGTGTATCACCTTAAACAGAGTCTTCACATAAAAATGTCCGCAGGGCTCTAAATTTCTGTGGTCTAAACTAAATCAACAAATCAGAAAGAGAAAAACCTGCGGACGTAAGGAAAGGTGCTTGCAAAATACAAGAAGCAAAGACTTAAGTTTAAAAAATGACGTACACGACTGAAAAGAGTCCAGAGGGTGGAAACAAGCACCATTTGAGATAGTGGCAACTGCCTCTCAAGCTTAACATGTTCAGCCTTGAAAACAAGGGAGCCTTGAAAGGGGGGTGAAGAGAAGTCTAATTATAGTTTGAAATATCCTAAGGCTATAAAGATCTAGGTATAAACTTGTTTGCTCCAAGGGAATAAAAAAACAAAACAAAACACAAATCAGACATAAGCCGCATTCAAAACAAGAATTTCAAACTAAACAAAGGGAGACTTTTAACTGCTAAAAATGAATTAGCATTTAGAATAATGAACATGTTCAGAACCATTTCTGAGACTCGGCTTGTCCCTACCACCGAGCAAGATTGCAACCAGTCCACTTCGCTGGAATTGCTTTCAGACCAAGATTAAGTAAAGCATTTCACAGTCTGAAGCTCATTACACTAAAATTTGAGAAACAAAATACTCAGAAGCACAGTATGAAAACCAATCACTTTTAAACACCTAGTCCTTCCCTATTTCCCCACACTTTGCTCTTTACTAACATTCAGACTAGAAAACTGGTGGTCATTTTGGTTTTTTAAATTGATGCACTTGATTACTCTTCATTCTGTCAAAACAAACAAACAAACAAAAACCACCAAATACGCCTCAGATAGCTTAGGCTGCCAGCAGTATCAGCACTGAGTTACAGATGAGCCTACATTTTACCCTCTGATGTTAAAGCAGTTGTGCAGTGCCCAGTCTCTTGACTTTTCACTGACAAAAAGAAAGAAGTCACTGTTAGGTTGTGTGACTGAAGGCTCCTCCCCACAGACACAAAGAAGCACCGATTAACAGTGTCAGACAGAGGAACTCCAATACCCCGAATGAAAGAAACTGAGCCCTGGGTCCGGCTGCTCCAAGGGTTGTCAGAAACACGAGCAGCCCAGTGGGCTGGGGGTAAGACCCAAGCAGACAAGTCCACAGGAGAGGCTCTCTCTAGACCACCCTGCAGACTGAAGGAGGGGGTTATTGCCCACTGGGTATGGGACTCACAAGATGCCAGGAACAGTACTTTGGGATTGTAGAAGGCATGGTACAGGATATTTAGAGGAAGAATCAAAGGCAAGAAAGAGATGAAAGTCGCTTGGGACAGAACAAGCATAGGAAAATACAGAGGAAAAAAAAGGGATAAAAGGGGCCAGATGCATGTAAACAGGTGGCTGCTCAGTACAGTTGTCCAGCCACGCCCCATGCTTGATCACTGCCGTTTCTCCTAGCTTCTTGTTAAACTACACTTGTAACTATTTTCCTGGGTGAGGGGAATCTCTCCTCTGTGTGCATAACTGTGCATGAAAGCATACATGCCAGCAGCTGGAGTTGTGCCACAGGTCACAGGGACCCAGGCACTTGGGGTGTCAGCAAGCAGAGAGGCCAGAGCCTGTACTTATGCTGCTTGGGTACACGTCAGCGTGTGATCGCTGGGAAACACCAAGCCAGACTAGCCAGAGTCTGGGTCAGATACTGGAAAGACCAGCAGGTCTGAGATTTGGCTACTGGAGGGATCAGGACACCTAGGGACTTGCCACTGGTAAGGTCATAAATCTGGACCAGCTGCCAGAGAAGCTCAGTGCAGGTTTGTGAGGCAACTGAGAGACTAGAGGATCCAGGAACCAGGCTACTGAGCAGAGTAAAAGTGTAAGGCCACTTGACAGAGGGATCCATATTGTCTATGTATGCATTTTCCACAAACAGGCTTTCATCCCAGTTAGCCAGTGAAGGGAAAGGATGAGGCCATTGACACTGCTGGTGTTTGCATGAGTGCTGTGTTTTTTGTATGGCTGGCTGTATATGTACATATACTGTGTACATGTGCCTCTTGGGAATACATCCTAAGCCTCACTGTGCGTTGGATTTGGCCACAAGGAGCTACAGCAGTCTCCTCTATACTGGGCCAGCAGATGCAGCAACTGCTAATGTAGATGTATTTAAACTTATATTATTACTTTACCATCTCACTGCTTACTGTTGCTAGAGAGACCAAGTTTCCACACTAATGCAATTATACCAAAATACTGCTACAAAGATCTCTTTTGAGCAAGTGCCTGAAGGAACCAGTCTGAATTACATATTGTTCTGCAGGAGTGTAAAATAACCCTTGTAAAAAAAAGCTGGCTGCCAACCAAGATTTTTTTCCTTCCTTTTTTCCCCTTTTTTAAAATAGCTCTGCTCATCAGCTTAAGGTCATATCAGCACTTGGATGAGAAATCACAGAAGGTAAGATGCCTGGAAACTAATGTTATGTATAGACTTCTTTAAGATAAAACAATAGGTATAGTTCCAAGACAATTACAAAAAAAGAAATGCAGGCCACCCTTCATCCTACAGCCTCCTCCAACACTATCACTTATGCAACACAGTGCACAGCCAGTTCAGGGAGATGATACAGACTAACCAATTTTTTTTATTATTATTTTTTTTTTTTTGGCAAGCAGAGTTTAATAATTGGTTTAAATCAACATAAATGTGGGATATTGCCAAACCAGAAACTTCTGCCTGCCCTCAACCATGTCATGTTCCTACCCTTTCACTGCACTGATATGAACACTCACAAATCTTCTGAGCAAGTCAGATCAGGGAACTGATTTGTCTGCAAATTAATCTTTTCTGAGTTGGGTTAACCACCAGCAGTTCCCCGATCCAGCATGCCATGGGACAAGTAACTTGCACAAAATGCATTGAAAAAGCTTCTTCAGATGCTATCTGGATTATTTTAGGAAAGTGGTTTGCAATGCACCCTACAAAAAATTGTGTTTGCGTAACTGAGGGGTCAGCAAACCACAGGTGGCGGAGAGGAAATTCTGGTGACTGCTGAAGAAAATAGCCACATATATGCACCCATCACATCACTGCCTTTTATACCTCCTGTTTTAATCCTATGTGCAAAGTATAGCTTGTTTTTCCTTCATATTTTCAATGTGGAATCCACTAATCTACTCAGAAGTCTGAAAAAAAAAAAAGTCTTGGATTCAGCATTTTTTAAATTTGATTCTTCCCTTTAAAGAAAACCCAGATGCTTCCCAATTTAAATTTTCAAATGGATCAAATCTTCATATTTG